AGTGTTGAATCTGAATCATCATTTGTTTTTTACTAACTAATTCAATCTAAACTGTAACACAGTTTAGATTGGACTCTGAATATATGTAATACATTTCCTTACTTCAAAGGACCTTGGCTTTTATAGGTTTTCTATCCATCCTTCCATGACCACTTGTGCACTACAGGTTAATACTGAGCCAACAGCCAATCCTAGGAAGCAAACAGCTTTTCATTGTTCTCACCTTATTTAAGATGTAAAAAACCATGAGGGAAAGCAGCAGCATCTATCAGTGCCCACAGTAACCTGTTTGGTTTCTCTCTTCCACAGAAGACAAACCTGTCATCCTGGTGTTCATGCACCACTGTCACAACCCCAGTCACATGATCAGCATCACAGTGCAACCATCCAATAGCAGCAAAGTGCATGTCGTCCACTGTGCCTTCCATGAAACTAAAGGGCTGCTGCAATGCCAGGAAAATGAACAGGCGGTCACAGAGGTGCAAGAGAAGCTGAGGAAATTCTAGCGATGAAACAGACCCTCTGCAGGGGAAATTAGTATTGACACAAATAGTGTGTATATGCCCAGGATTTTTATACTTTTTTAAATGTTTATTGATGATAGTCAACAAAAAACAATCAAATTCANAATTAGTATTGACACAAATAGTGTGTATATGCCCAGGATTTTTATACTTTTTTAAATGTTTATTGATGATAGTCAACAAAAAACAATCAAATTCAACCAAACAGTCACAAACAGCCATAAATACAGTTACTTTATATATCTATATAAATAATACATGAAATACAAATAAAATACAGATGTATTTTAAAAATGAAAAGATAAGAAAGACCCTAAAATGGAGGTGAGGGAGTGGACAGAGCGGGGAGGAAGGGGGGAGAAGGTATTTACACTCTCACCTCCAGTTATTATAACCGAAGCAGTTAAAATAAGACTCGGAGCTTTATGAACCTCATCCCTATAACCTCTCTACTTCTAACATGACCAAAATGTGTGGACAGAATTTGAGTCAGTTTCCCCTCAGTTACTCCAGCATTCACTATAGAGGAGGGCCCAGTCTTCACTGTTACATGTGGTGTCCTAAAATATCAAACTATCATTCTCCAGTTAAATTCTCTCCAACTATTAGAACAGATCACTAGATGTGCCTCCTACCAAATTTCTTCCCTTGTCTCTACAGAGATGTCTTGCTA